CTTGTACAGAAGTTTGTTGCTGATAAATTATGCATTCATGGTGCTTCTGCTTCAAAAACACTTATCCTGGCTTTTTATCCAGGCAACCAAAGCCAGGGACAGTCCAAAACATAATTATGCACCACAATCAACATGTTTGTCCCTTTTCAGGCCATTCAGCACAGTGAATGAGTTTGGAAACATGGCAATTCAGCTCGTTGACCATTGATTGAAGATTTCTTATTTGCAGCTGAAATGTTGTTAATTAAAGGAAAAATTTACAGCATGTGCTTCATACAGGGTTCAACACCAAAAATAAAACTTTAAAACAACAAAGGTCATTCTGTTACAAAAGATTTACTGTTGTGTTTTGTAATTCTTCTGCTTAATACTGACAAAAGAAACACACCGGTTTCCAATTGTCTTCATCTTCACATAAAAACATAGTGCTTCATGTTATTGAAACAAAACCTCCCAGTCTGTTTAATGGGCTTGTGTCTCTGATTCATGGCACTCCAGTTTAATTAGAAGTTAAAACAACTACAATTCAATTTGGAACAAGAGTCCTCCACTGTCAACTCCACAGACGTTTCATTACCTCCTAGGTACCGCACGTCTGTCCTCAAATAAAAAAGCAGGACAGTTAAGTTCACATGAGGAAAAACACATCTTCAGCATTCAGCTCTTATGTGGTTGGGGGGGAAAACTGGACTGAAATCTACATAAGATATTATGGAAAGCATCAACCTTTAGTTTAAATAAAAATAACGATTATTTGCAAAACTGGAGCTAGGCGGTTTTTCATAGCAGCAGAGACCCATCAGCCTCAGACGAGGTGTCTGCAGACAGTAATAAATCCCAGTGTGAGACAGAGCCATAGTTCTATCAACCTGTCAAAAGCTGTGTGTGTTGAGGGGACTTGTTTTACCATATTTGTGTGGTCCAAAAACTGGGAGCCTATTATACTTGTTAGGTCCAACAGCTTTGTGGGGACCAAAATAAGAACCCCACAAGTGTACAGGGCTGTTTGAAGGTTAAGACTTAGTTTTAGGATGAAGAGGCTAGGGAATGCATTGTGTCAGTGACGGGTACCGACAAAGATGGTGACACAAGGATGTGTGCGCGTGTGTGTGCACGCATGCATGTGTGTCCGTGGGTATTAATGGTAGTCAGATCTTTTGCAAATGAGCTACTGAAACTGCCTTGTAAGTCCCAAATAAGGCACCACCATGTCTGACCATGACTCAAACACTCATTACATGAAGAGGTACTGTGTGTGTGTGTGTGTGTGTGTGTGTGTGTGTGTGTGTGTGTGTGTGTGTGTGTGTGTGTGTGTGTGTGTGTGTGTGTGTGTGTGTGTGTGTGTGTGTGGCTCAGAAAAGTTTGCAGTCACTTAAAATGTCCAAAAGCGAAGGTTTTGACTTTGGTAGAAAAGTATTAAAGCATCCACAGACACTTCTTAACCTGCTCCTGCAACAGATTCAACTTTCCCTGTCAAACCAAGTGCCCATTATGTTCAAAATAAATCATCAAATCAACATATTGATAAAGTCACTGTGTCTGTGTCTTTCCTCAGACACACATATTGGTGGACAGAGAAGCGTCTTATGCTGCAGAAATGGTTCAACATGTTTCCACAGTGTAAACCACTCACTATTGGAATCCTTTGTCAGTGATGTGAATATAAGCTAAGTGGAAATTATAAACATTTTATGGCCACTTTTCAAGATAACAGAATGTTTTATACTCAAAAAGAGAACATTTTGAGTGGAATATCCCTTTAACAGGAATCTGTGTTAACAATACATGAATCACTACCAAATAAATAATGATTGGCCATTAATGATGCAGAGGCCGCAGCTTCTCACAAACTGGCCATGTTCTCTGTCCAGGCAGGAAATGTCAGGTCTGCTGGGATCATTCAGCTTATAATGCCGAGAGTAAGTAAGTTTCCTCAGGTTGGACAGAAGAAAGTTGGGGTACACCCTGGAAAGGTTGCCAGTCCATCACAGGGCCACACCTGGACAGGTTGCCAGTCCATCACAGGGCCACACACTCACACCTAAGGACAATTTAGGGTCACCAATCAACCTAGTCCACATGTCCGCAGGAGAGAACCCACACAGACATGGGGAGAACATGCAAACTCCACACAGAACCCACGACCTTCTTGCTCTGAGGTGACAGTGCTAACGACCGCACCACCGTACCACCCAATATCAGTGTGATGAATTACATAAATCAATATAAGGATTATGTTAAAGACACTTAAGGAATTTTACAGCTGTATTATTTGTTCATTTTTTAAGCTGCAGCAAACAGAAAAAATCAAACATGGAATTCTATAAGAGCATGATGTGAATTTGGTTGTGTCTTGGATCTAAGAAAAACGCAGTTTGACTGCAGATGTCTGTAAAAGTACTGTAATAAAGTACACTTTTGAGGTTAAGTATTTTAATTTTGTGCTTCTTTATAGTGAAACACTACTTTTTACTCTACTACATTCATTTGACAGTATTTATTTATTTGTAGTATCTGTAGTATTTTTATGTGTAGGGTGATATTGCTACTTTTACACTTTAAGTAAATGAGTACGTCTTCCATTACTGCTGGATTTAAGCTGCATTACCAAACGGCAAAAGCACAAAAAAGAAAAAAAAGAAGGCAATAAATTACCCCCAAACACTTTGTTCAAAAATGTTTGCACACATTTTCATATGCGATGAGCTCCACAGTGCATAGCAGGTTCAAGGTATACAGTAACCCCATTTCCACTCCCCACTGTGCAAGTGTCCCAACCAACTGGGAGTCCCTAGCAACGAGGACATGACAGGCCCTAACATGCTTTCCACCCCCGAACACAAGCAATCTATGGCAGTCTGCAAATGTTTTGCCCCTGTGTGGAGTGAAGAGAGTCAAAACAGAAATAGCAGGATTGTCTGCAACAAAGGTTCTATTGGATTTCAACTTGGTGTTCACCTTATGTAACTATGCCAACAGGGCATGCTGCCAACTGGCTATTTTAAACTCTGTAACCGTCAAGATGTCTCTGTAGACGGAAAAAAACAAGTGGATCATGTTGTTGCTCCCAGAATAATTGAAAATTTGTGAAATGCTCAAGTTTCACATAGGAACAATAATATAAAATAAGACAGTTCAACTGTTAAAAAACCTCATTGTGCATCTGTGATACTGCCAACTCTGGCTTCTTATTTTCTCCTCCCCTCCAACACAGGAATGTGAAACATGGGCTCAGCCCTGCTTGGTGTTCCTGCTGACCTGCAACACCGGAGCTCAAAGATAAATCCTCCTAATTGGACACTAGTCAACACTATGGCACACACAGTCCAGACTTGTTTAAAAATACAGAAGATCTGCATGGTGCGCCTACAGTATCCCTTGAGCTGGAAGGAATTTATTTAGAAACCCCATCTAATGATGACGTTTATTGGTCCTAGCAGTAAATTTGACTTGTACATCACTGACATCTGGTAAGGAGGTGACACACACAGAGAAAAATGGATGGTAGAGGTAAGCAAGTAAGGTAAGGTATGAACATGGACAAATATGGCCACCATGACCATCCTGTTTTTTGTTACTGAATTTAAGTTATGACATGTACTGAAGGGCTCAGAAGAACAAGGCCACTATTGATATGATCATAACCACAGAATATTGTAAATATCAAATTTGTCTTTCTCAGACTCAGAGCTGTAAGCGTTTGAAGATTACTTACCTGCTTATTTATGTTGTAAAACAAACCAAAAGCCACATAACGGCATCCCCATTAGACAAACACGATGACTATCGTACGGAAATGAAAAGGTAGAAAACATCCATAATACATTGTCTTTTTTGAGTTGCACCTGCAGTTCATTCATTAAGAAATGTAGCGTAACCATAGAAATAAATCCTATTTACTTGTTTTTCCCTTTTACTCCCTCTTGTTCAATTTGAGCCAATCACCCTGCAGTCACAGGCCTGTTTTGGCTCTAATTAGCCCTGCTCTGCCCTGTTGTGGAAACCACTGTGTGTGTGTGTGTGTGTGTGTGTGTGTGTGTGTGTGTGTGTGTGTGTGTGTATTACTGCTGCTTGAGGATAAACAGAACAATCTGGCTGAGAGTTTGAACCTTGAGCTGTGGCACCGTTTAATACCGTATAATAGTATTAGAACACAGAGGTCTGCTGGGTAAATAATGTGAACCAACAAAGAACAGAACAATACAGTAAAACACCTGCAAGACACCTGCCAGTTCTTCAGTGAGAGTGATTAGAAATTCAATGAGCGAGAGAGCCCAGGACTCCTCATTATTACATCTAGTATCTAGTTTCAAAGATTGTCATGCTGTCACATGTTCTTGTGAATATTAGACCGATTAAACTGTGGGTTTGTAGATTAGTAGCCTGAACACAAAGGACAGTTTGTTGAACCGGCATTCACAGAAAACCACTTCAGCTTTAGCATTAATGGAAACCTACAGCGAGAATGTGTCTCTTCTTAAAGCTGGCGGACACATGACATGTGAAACGCTTGGCTTTAAGAGAATCTACAAGAAATGACTATTACAGAAGTCAGCCTACTTATTTTGTATAATAGATTTGTTATATGCTGATAACTAAAACTAGTAGATCAGTTGAAAGTTCGAGGTTGAAAACTGATCTACTAGATTATGTGTTCATCTGAGCCATCTAGTGGTACACAACTGTATTACAAATCCTAATTATATACACAGTATATACACAGTACATATGTTGCATTTTAAGGGTCAGTTCACCCAAATTTAAGTTTTCTCATGTACCTCTAGTTTTATCCATCTATGCAAATATTTTTGGTTTTGTCTGTCTAGATTTAGAGCTACAGAGGAAATATTCCGTAGCTGACAGCGTGTTCTTTGAATTATCCAAAGTAGTACTGAAATGATAATTTATATCATTACCAGTCATTTTTTTTAGATGAATATCTAATCTTCCAGGCAGTAGACGGATGAGTTGATCAGAAAACCAATTATACACAATTCTGATAATGGTCCATTTAGTCATTAATCAAGCAAAAATAGCAAATACACACAAACAACATTCTTTTCACCTCCATTGTGTTTGTACGCCGGCAAATATTTGCACAGATAAAACCTAGGAGATGATTAAACCAAAACTTTATGCATTGATAGATACGACTATAGGTAAGTTTATTTGTATGTGTGTGTAATCTGAGAGAACCAACCCTTTATTTTGGTTTTTATATGCTCTGTAGTGATGAAAAAGAAAAAAGGATGGTACTGATCAAAATGTCTGTTCATCTGTAACCAGAAGCATCAAACTGCTGTCACTTTCTTCTTAACCTCATTGAATCAAAAGGCAAACAACTGTTTCCATCAGTGAAAATATATAGATATATATTAAAAACACACAAACAACTTATATTTACATAGTAATACATGAAACATTCAAACTAGACCTTTTAAGATCATTACTTTGAGGACCATTCAATATGAATGGTCTCTTGTGGTTTCGCCGAGCACAATGAAAATAAAACAAAATCAATGATCCAAAAACAGTTTACAACTTTACAAGAGACCAAAAACTCAGCATGTGAATACAAGAGGTCTGAATGAAGATACAAGTTTAGGAGGTAACAATGGAAACATCAGCAGCAACAGTAGAATAGGAGGGAGCCGGGGCAGGCGTAACCGCGGTGATGGCAGCAGAAGCTCCAGTTGATGTCAGTGTGGTACCAGAGGGCTCGGTGGGGCGGACCGGTTTGGCGATTTTCATGGGAATGAAGACATTAGAGGTGCAGTGCTCGCTCAGGTACTCGCCTCCTTTCTCCTCGTAGTCCTTTCTGCTGATCCATCCCTCTGTCGCTCCTCCCACTCCTCCAGGTGGATGCTCCAAGGCCCAGTCTCTTGCCCCATACCAGGAGTCCAGAGCTGGCCGCGACGCCATTGTCACCTGGGAAAGAGTCAGTTAGAGTTCAAGTGTCATTACAAGAAGATTACTTCTGGATTATCTGAACCAATCTGAAAAGTATTTGGGCATAAATTTACTTTATGTTTTGAATTTCAATTCTTTTGTTATTTATTTGTTATTTATTTTGTTATTTGTGTTTCTCTCTCATTCTTTATACATGGATATGATTCAGAACAGCGTGGTTTGTATAATGATCAGTGGGTTTTTGTAGGGCCTTGTACCTTGAAGTGTGACTGGAAGGGCCTCATAGCCAGCAGTTCCCTCTCCATTCTCTCCTTCATCCCAGGGTACTGCATGTTCCCTCCTGTAAGAAACACGTTGCTCACAAGCGCCTCCTGCTGCTCTGGGGTATACCTGTGTGTGGTATAGACATAAGAAAGACATTGTTAGTTTCACATATCATTTTCTAACATAATAAAAAATGTAATATGAAAGATGCTAAAATGCAGTATTTGGGTGGTTAATTATAATAGTGTGTGTTTGTGTGATTTCATTTGCGTATGCCTATGTGTTTACATGAACACAATGTATATGCATATGTGTGCTTTATGTTTTTGCATGCACCTGTTGATTTGTATCTTTACCTGGCCAGGACATACTGCAGTGTCTCCATTAGTCCCATCTGTTCCTCTCCAGTCGGCGAGGGCTGGAACAGGATCTCTGGACACCGCAGACGCTCCGTCCCCACAAACAGCTGGTGGTACTCTGCCATGTTGAACATGGGCTAGAGACCAGATCTAAGTTCATTTTCACCGACACTGACACCAAACGGTTCCGCTTATGAGCAAAGTTAGCTAGCTTCATTACTAATACAGAAAGTTTTCTTACACACTCTGCCACATATTGAACTGGCAGATAATTGCCTGCACAGCATTAATGAGGATCTAATATATGTCTGAAAGTTCCAGTGTCTCTGTGCCACTACCTGAACCACATTAGCAGATTTTTCTGGCAGCGTGTCCTCAGGGAAGTCAGGATCCATCAGTGCCACTCCGTCTCCCTCGTCCATCGGCTGCTCCAGCTCAGACACCTGGCAGAGAGCAACAGAACAGCCTCAGGCATCATGTCAGCTGCAGCACATCGACTGCAGCAAACAAGGACGGACCCTGTAAAGCCCCACAGCAAATTCACGGTAATGGCATGTAGACCTAATTAATTACTGGTACATTTGAATGCAACCTCAGCTCAGTGGCTGCTTAGTTTCTCAGCTGCTGCAATCACCTTTGTTGAAAATACAGTGTAGTTTGACCACTTTGCTTCCCTACTACTGTTGGCAACCGAAGCATTTGCATGCCAAGTGATACAGTACATACCTAGAAACACTGCTTATATAACACTGCTATCCACTCAAGCTATACATATATTTCATATATATTTTCTTTGGGTAACCTATTTTAAACTACTCAAAAAATAACAGTATCTATTTGTGTTGCATTTTGCCAGACAGAGCCTAAAAGGTGGACAAAGCTTTTCTGTGATTTGGTGGAGTAGCACCCACCTCCGTCTTTCCCTCTGCTACGTCACTGTGCAGCAGCTTCTGTCTGCCCTGCTCCACAGCCAGCTGCAGTTTGTTGATGTACGACTGCAGCTCCTCAGCAGAGTCCATATTGAGCTCCACCAGGCTCTTATGAAACTGATCCAACAGGCCATCTTCCAGCAGCTCCTGTACGCACAAGAGTCAAGGGTCACTGTGCAGCACACGCCAGCTGTGTTTTAGAGTCAAACTAAAGATCAAACATCAAGTATAGTTAGAGGATGTTTTATGGTTACTGTTGTAGTGGACACAATAAATCCTTAGAAGAAAAAACAGACTTTTTAAAATGTGTTTCCTTCTCAGATGTAAATGGGTCAAAAGGTCTTTCCTACAGTATATTAAATCTTAAGTTTTAAGCATTTAAATGTTATTTGAAAAACCGTTATGGCTTCATTAAAAAAAAAAAAAAAAAAAACTGTAAATGATAATAAAGGTCCCTTGCCTGTATTGCCATAAGTCTGTCCAGCCTCTCTTGGTCCTGCAGCAGCTTCTCCTCCCGCCGGCGAGCGTTGATCTCCTGAAGCCTCCGAAGCTGCTGAGCTCGTCTCTCCTGCCTCTCCTCCACACTCACACAGCCGCCCGGTACCTTACCTGAGAAGGGAAGCTGCATACGGTGAACCTCCCGCTCATAAAACTCTGGGCTGCGCCACTTTTCCAGCTCTGTAGAGAACACAACAGAAATGGAAAGGAAAGTAGATAAAGTTCAATAAGGCGTCCATGCATCTCCATGCTGCCTTTGAGCTCCTTCAGTCTAGTACCAACAGAAACAAGCAGAACATGTCTGTGAGCAGTTTATTAACTAAGATTCATTTGGGAGACCTTTAACTACTTACATAAATGCTTGTTATTTGCTGCTGCAACTTGGGAATCGTAAACCAAGAAGCTCCAAGTGTTTCTATATATGGACAGTATATTTGCTCTGACATGCTGTACCTTCATGATAATCCACAGCAATGTAACTGTGTTCATGCAGAAGTTCCTCCACCCGGCTGAGTGTGATGGCAGCAAGGTGACCTGGGTATTTCAGCTGGAGGAGGCGCTGCAGGTAGGACGCTGCCTGACTGCCAGCCACATTCACACGCTTACAGTTGACTGCATCAAACCTTGAATCAAAACCATATTGGGCTCAAAACTGGACTGTACAGAACAAACTGTGCAAGATGTGTGTATTACTGCACTAAAGGGAGTCAGTAAAGGAGGACAGACAGGTAAAGCACTTCTTAAGAGAATAATAAAGTAAGTAAGATGATATAAAATGAACACAGAAGCAGTCTGTGTATCCTCACCTGCCGTTGATAACTGGCAGCACGTGTGAACAGTGGTATCCTGAGGACAGAACAAGGCCAGTGTGTGGTGGCTGGAGGCTCCTTCGAGTGTTATTGTGGTAGAAACTGTACAAGCCGTCCACACCGTAGGACACATACGGGACGCAGTAGCACTCAAAAAGCAACTCTGACATCATCTGCCGACAGTGCAGCGGGTTGCAGGGCGCTTCTGTCAGCACAATGGGGTGTACCACACTGCCCTACAAAAGCACGGGGAAAGTAATACTGATTGATCAGCTGGTTGTCATGAGGAGCTAGTTCAACGTTGCCCATAAAACAGAAATGGTAAAAATGACCATTACCACATTACATCATTTTGGCTACAACACTTAAGGCACATCCCAGTTCCCTTATTTGATCGATCATCATTATGAAGGCTGTTTCATTGCTGTTATTTGGATCAGGTAGTGAGGAGGCATCTCTGAGGACACATGAGCGAAGATACACAACACGAACCTTAGCAGATCTGTTGGACGTGTCACCAGAGCAGACTGAAACCTCTGTATCATCAGCAGTCAGCGCAGTTTTATACCAAAGTGGACGGATAAATTGTGACAGCACCAACTCAAGAGTATTACTCCAAAGTTTTTGTTCTGATACTCCATCTACTTACAAAATAGTGGCTCTGTAGGTTTGACTGATAAAAGAACCATAAACAACTTTCTTCATTCTTAGCAAGAGTTTTCTCTTGATCATCTGTTAGTTCCCCGTTTAATCTGTTTCACTAATCATACTGATCGGGGTGAGGAGTAGAGTCTGTTCTCTGTCAGCGCTAAACACATTTTAATTGTTTGTCATCATTGTTATTAATTCACATAAAGGCTAAGGCTAAAAATCCTATTCACGTCATTTCCACTTCCCCTAAAACATTTGGGCCTATAAATGATTATGACAAATTGTAAAACATTTTAATGATAACCTGCATGACTGAGCAACAAATCTACTAACAGAATAAATATGCAAATAATTATTAAACTAACTAACTTGCTGCCATTAGAAATGGTACATAAGGATTTAGTGTGTGAAGTCTACTGACTCACAGTGGATTAAATAATCTGAGCAAATAAATTCAGAAAGCAGTTTTAAAAAAGAAAGAAAGAAGGTGCTAGCTGTACACTCCTATTAGTATTTGGACCGTGCGTATATGGTCAAACACAAACTCCAAACTATAGAAAGTTGCTACAGGGCTGTTAAAGCCTTCTGATTCATCATCAAAAACTCTGTTTCCTAAAATGTCTTTGTTTTATTCTTGTGTGTTGACATGTTGCCTTAGCAGAAGTACATGATCAACAGAGAAACATGGTAAGTACACCTGGCACTCTCCTTTGGAGTTAAAGGTAAAATAATAAACTCCTCAGGAACTTTGGCTTGTGAAATTCAAAATATCATGATGCCGCGAGTCAAGATGCCTTTCCTATCTGTATTAATGTAGTCTATGAAAAATTACCCAATTAATCAAGAAGTCAAAAGACGGAACACTAATCAACAAAACATGTTTAAATGCAGCTGTGGTTGTTGCTATTCTTTGTCTGGTGTGAGTTTTGTATTGTTTTAGATATCACAGTGGGCTATGGGAAATGGTGATTTTTTTTTTTTTTAAACAATTTTCTGACATTTTAAAACTTTCACTTTGGGTGTATATTTTACCTACACATTGACCACATGTTAATACATGTTAATAGCAGGTACAACATGAAAACATGTAATGTGTCTAGCCCTATGACACATTAAAAAATTAAATTAAGTCTAAAAGAAATCAAAATTTATTAATTTTGGATAATAATAATCACAGAACCATATTGTAGTTCATTGTTGAAGAAGATATCTGTGTCTTTAGGAGGCGTGCGAGGACAATATGGGTTGACTCTGAGAGCCCCTGTCTCCTGAATGGTTGGTCATTCTGGTTATCTAACACTCTCTCATGTAGATATACATATTCAACGATGATTGAAATCATTAGTTGTGCAGCAGTGGTGTCTGCTTGTACCTCTCAGCTGGGCTCTGGCTTTGAACTTTTGCCTGTAGCTACATGGAGACTTTTTTGTTGATACCTTGGAATAAAATCTAATTTAACTGGGGTCTATACAACCTTACCCCTAAACTAATAACAAAGTGTGTTAAAATTGTAGTATAGACAGGGTTCTGACAGGGTCCTGTGTCTAACTGTGAAGGTGTAGAAATCAAATCAACAGTGTGTCAAATAGCTTTACAACTAACTTTATGGAAAGAAGAATAGTAATAGTAGTAGTAGTAGTAAGAATAGTAAGTATACAATAAAAAAAAGCTGAACTGAAATGTAACCTCACCTCAAGATCACGTTTTTAGCGTATTTACACAAACGTGGGAACACATTTGCTTAGTGATACAAATTTTGGCGCAACACTAGCAGACACATCAGTCCCCGCCCACCACTAACCTCTGAGGCGATGCCCATGTGTGTAAATACATGGTCGAAGATGAGCTCCTGGATCTCGAAGTTGACCACCACGTTTCGGTCGAACTGGCTCTTCAACAGCCACCGCAGCGGCTCCAGGTTGGGGATATCGTTACCGATCTGGGTCTCGCTGCGGGCAGCCCCGCGGCTGCGCGCCGCCACCGACCTGAAGACCAGCTGCGGAGACTCAAACTCCGCCGCCGGAGCCGCCCAGCCGGCTCGGGTCTGGAAAGAGCCGTTATCTATTACTATCGGGGCTGGTGTAGGGGTCAGGCACTGGGTGGGGAACTCAAAAATCGGGTCAGGAGAAGATTTACAGTCCTGAAATGAGAAAATTTTAGAGACCGGTTCCCCTTTAGAAGCCATTTTGGAAGTGCGTCACAGTAAAGTAGAGCCGAGTGAAGTCTTGGTGTCGCCGACTTATAGTTCCCAGTTGTTCCACTACTTTTTTCAACATACAGGCATATGCACGTTATTATTATTATTATTATTATTATTATTATTATTATTATTATTATTATTATTATAAACGAGTAAAATAAATGTTTTGGCTGTACTGTTTCAAAAATCCAAGTGTCTCTACTTTTGTATTACTTTGTTTTTCATTTTCAGCTACTCATTCTTTCCCTGCTATGTCTCCACAATTAGAATAAGTGCGAATTTAGAATAAGTATAGGCCTACCTTTTACCACCAGAGGTCGTACTACACTCTATGTAAGCATAAGTCCCTGTGAGACTCCATATGAGGCATACTGCTTTATCCTTGGTGGATTAGGTAGCCAAACTTTCAGGTGGGGCCTTTTTATTTTTTAAGTGAGACTGTATATAGGCATCATAAATGTCTAACTCCCACTACAGCATCTTGAGAAGTTTAAACAGCAATGTAGACAATTGCAATTGGCATTTACACAAGATATAAATTTTACTTTACGTCTTGAATCTCACTGACTCATTGTTTGGCCACTTGGTACAAATATGCAACCACGCTTTTTTCAAACCCAAAGAACTCGATTTTAAATTCTGGTGGAGGAACCAAAGATCCCATTTTAAAAATATTCAAACATTTGTAGAGCCGTGTCTGTATGCAAACTCAAAGAGATGATTCAAGACTCACTGCCATTTTCTTACTATCAATCATTTCCTCAAATTTGTATATAGGCTATATGCTAGAAATGGATGAGTGCATATTGAAGCTACATTTAAGCCATGCATGTGAACAGACATTTTCCCTCAGGCACCGAGATCCCGGATTTCTTTCTGTCTGCCATCCTGTTACTCTCAGCTGACCGAGTGAAGCCTCAGCTGGTGATGTGGGACACCTGCACATGAGTTCTACTGTATATCCCACTGGGCTTCAGTTCAGACCATTCAGTCCATGCACACATCCATCTTTGAGGTCTCACATTCAGATAGGGATTATCCTGAAATGCTTGATCCACTGCAATTCCAAATTCTAAAATGGATGAAGAGTAACTGTTGATGTGATAGTCAGCTAATAAAAATATGTGCCAGTAAAAAAAAGCTACTGGTTAGAACTTCTGAGTTTGCAGTTTTTTCTCTCAGTTTCCGTAAACAAGTAGCTTATAGTTCAATGATTACTTAAAGTAGATTTCACACAAACGTGCATACGGTGGGCTAAACATTAGTTATTATTATAGTACACAGTATTTTCCAGTATTTAGTGCCATTGCTTTACTTTGAGGCTTTCTTAGCCAATGAAATTTAACAGTGAGACACGTGTTTTCTGTTTTGAGTGGATTTATTTCCTGGATAGCCCAGATATTTGGAAGCAGAGGATGAAAAGGATGAAGGAAGGAACGTGTGTGTGTGTGTGGGAGGGGTATTACTGTATGAAGCTTGATGGTGTGTCACTGAAGCATGAGCACAGTTCACTGCTCAGGCACAAAGCTCTAAGTGACTGCTGTCCCCCTCCTCCTGATGCTAATAAGCATATCTAGGTCAGCTCACCCACTCAAATACACACTCACACACACATACATGTGGTTACATACCCACTAATAAGACACACACACACACACACACACCATCCCCACCCACATACACATGGACATACGGTCACAAACTCATACAAACCCCCATCTAGTGTCTTTCCTCTCAGACACATACACACACTGGCATCCATTCCTTCCAGGAGGCACGATGCTCGCAGCGCTCTCTGCTTGTTGTGCTTGTCATTCAGGCAGCGGTGATGAGGTACAGGGGAACTAATAGGCTACAAGCACTCTGGGACTGCCACACGTGATGCCAAGCAGCCTCCATTTTGTGGAGGAGGAATAACAGACTGTTATTTCCCACTGACAAGGAGAGGGAGGAGGGAGAAATACAATGTTGTGGGGTCAATCGTGTTTACTGTTTATGAATAATACAAAGATTTCAAAATGTCTGTCATTGTTTTTGTTTTAATTATTGTTTTTTATATATAAATTGATTTTTTGGGTGGTTCCCACTGGCCTTTGTGTGTGTGTGTGTGTGTGTGTGTGTGTGTGTGTGAAGGAATGGCGGATGTAGGAAGAGAGTCCAGTTTATGTAACAACTCTGACTCTGAGCACTTCTGATATATCAGAGCCACACTGCGGACAAACCCCCCTGCAACCTCCATGACTCTCTTCCGCACCCTGTCACGCCTGCACACAAACTGTACACACACATAGTGGTACACCCTGTCTTTTTTTCTTTCTCTGTGTCTCTCCTTCACAGACAAACACACACCCACACAATCCCACACAGTCTGTCACTATCACTCTCTTCAGTCTCTGGCCCTGTAAGCACAGCAGATCTTTTCGGGCCACAGAGTGATTAATGTGTTTGTGCACCTGTCACTATTCATGCATTCATGAATGTGTGTGAGTGTGTGCGTGCATGCATGACTGTGGATGTGGGAAGGGTATTTCTAAAAATACAAATATTCAAATTTATTTGTGTGTGTGTGTGTGTGTGTGTGTATTTGATGTTGCTAATCCTTGTCTTATTTAGTGGATAACATGAATATTTCTGTACAGTAGCAATATGATCATCCACTGTCTAAAATTTTAGTAATGTTTGAATCTGCACAGGCCCAGGTGTTTTTAATTATTCATTCATTTCCTCCAGTTAGATTTAAGTTAGGTGGAGCTATGCTGGGAATTGACCAGGGGCGAGTTCAATCTCAAAACGTTTTGCACCGGTTTGCAACGGTTTCCTTGCAACATTGTGCTTCGAGGTATGTTTTCTTCTGTTTGGTGGGCGTGTCACAGGTGTTACCCAATCAGCTGCGACAAGTCTGTAAACACATAAGTGTTACAAATAAAATAAAAGGCAGAAAATGCAGTGCGCTTGCTTACACAACAGGGTGTTCAGGGAATTTCCGTTGGCGCTGAACTCGCCCCTGTTCACTAAACCCCGCCTCCTAATTACAATTGTCCAATCGTTGCAACTGTAAATAGGCATGGCAGCTTTGGATTTATGTTAGAAAATACAGTCAGTGGGAGCAAAGATGCTAGTTTATCCGAGTTTAAATTAGGCCTAATAATCGTGGATGTGTGCTGTCTTTATTTGGTTTGGGGAAGTTTACACTGCAGCAACTAACCAAACCTGTGGTAGATTAGTTTGACAAACTCATCAGTTATTCCTCATTTTCAAATCATATTCTCAGATCAAAGTGAAGTGTTGTTAGAAAATACAAACAGTGAAGCATAAGTCTAACCCCTGTAGTCTATCTTGTGTGTTAATGTTTTGTGTTTTTATGTGGAAGAATAGGCTTAGTTCCTACCTTGGTAACAGCTTTGTTATTTTTTATCTCTACATGGATCATGGGACACTTAGCCCAGGAAGTGCCTTCATGGGCATATTAAAATAGCCTGCCTTTTAAAGGGTTCTTGTTTTAAAGCAAATCTACAACCTTTGAAAAGTCACCAAGTAGACTAGTTAATCCGTGTTTGTCTAGCATGATATCTAAAAAGTAAACAGATTTTATAGATTTGATGGAAACCGAGGAAGAAGATGTTTTTCTAGTTGTTGATGATGATGGGAAATTGTCACAGTATGACTATTTATAAATTCCGCAATTAGAAACAAAATCAAATGTTGCTCATTACTTTCTTTAGCCTCTTGTAGGCCACGCCCATTTTCACATAAACAAATGGCACCTTTTGGGGTTTTTGTCTTTATTTTTGCAACATAGCCTAGTTTTTCAGCACTCCTAATCTAATCTTCACCAGCTACAATTTTGGAATATATTTGGATGAGACATGAATTTTAATTTCATAATAGGCCTGTGTAAATTTCGGCTATAGGCCCATATAACCTTGATTTCCAAATTAATTTAGCCTTAGCGTGGCCTAGGACTTTTTCACATCTTATTATTTGTGGTTGCTTTACTCCTGTGACAAATCAAAAACGTGTGCTGTGATAAAACATTATTTTTAAGGAAGACATTTCGAAAGCAAATTCAGCCAACACATGCACGTAGGCCTACTCCTGTTTATTCTCGCGATTGTGCGGCGTTGGTAGAGGAAATCTTCTCCTTTAGCATTTTTCTTTTGACACTCTTTAGACGAATGGTTAGGATTGGCTTTAATGTTTAAATTCTCTTTCCATCCAGGCAGCCGAGGGTTTTCGACACAAAAAAATAACCTGTGCTGAGAACAGAGTCTATTTTCTCTCAACTCTTATACACACATGCACACACCCTGTCCAATTACTGTGGCCATGGCAACTATCAGAGATTATTGCTTCCAGTCAGCACTGCACGGCTGTTAAGCCCCCGTATCTCAGGCCTTCACACACACACACACACACACACACATTGGAGCGGGTGTGCAACACACTCCCCGGCCTGAGTGTCTCTATCTTGCTGTCTCTCACACATGAGCCCGAATTAATCCTTCTCTTTGTAGCCTAAGAAGCTAAATTGGTCGCCACAGCAACCATTTTTAAAGCCCTTTCAAAGAAAAAAGCAGACTGAAAATCCATTTTGTCATGAGGAAGTATAAATACATCTATCGTGTAGTTTTGGAAGGGACATAATTTAAATAGCTAGCATTCTTTTGTCCATGCATGTCTTTCTTCATAGATGTAGAATCAGTGTCATTTCTGCAGATTTGGGGTGAGGCAGCATGTATTTAGCGTGCTTGCTTTTTGGTGTGCGCGCGCGCGTGTGTGTGTGACATTTGCAGCCGATCCTCTGTCCTCCCATTAGCCCGGGGATTGTGCATGTGATGGGGGGAGGGAGAGATGCCTCAAGGACTCTCCCCATTTCCTTACCGCCACATACACACGCGCATACCCCCAGACGTGGATGACACACACTCACTAACAAACACTATGTTGGCCTGAACATAAATAGCAGCTGGCAAAGCAGCCCAAGCCAAGCATGAAAATATGCGGAACTTTCTCTGTCCTCTGGCTGGTTTCTAAATTTAGACCTCTCGTCCATGTTATTTGTCTTACAATGCTGCTCGTAAAATATTGTCTTGCATGCCTTAATACTTTATTCTATCCGAACAAAAAGATAATTTCAATCAACCGTGAAATCTCTATTAGTTTGATTTACATATATTAACAGAGATGTTTTTTAAAATGCTCATAAATCGTGGCCGCGATAGAGCCTTGATTTTTCAGCCTCCCTGCCACAGTGGGCTACATTTCTGCAAGTAGGCTTGAAAATTTGATGGCAGTTTTGTTCAGCCGTGTCACAGCAGATTATGCAGGAAAAGATGAGATGTTTGTTATTCCCGAGGATTACAGCTGAGGTGGAGAAGAAATAGCCTAACTATCCCCCCCCCCCCCTGGGATTTTTTCTTCTGTGCAGATATTTATTAAATATAGCCCACTAAAAGACAATAATTAATATAGCTATTAGATGATTTTCCTTCAATCTGCGTAAAAGAAAAAAGGCTGAGGAGAAGTCTGATCCTTTTTTTCTGAGGAGCTGTCCGTGGTGCTGCCAGTGCTCTGCGGCAGGCCAGCTGCAGGATGTGCATCATATCAGCAACGAGTTGCATTCCTTCACAGCCTGCTGAACATGCTCATCTGGAATCAAGCTGTTAAATGAGCTGGAAACTTAAAATCTGTAGCCGTATGCATCCATGAGAAATTCTAACCCGCAGATCTGGCTAAACCGTGGCATTATTTTAAATGTTTTAATATGAAGGTGCGGCGTATTTTATAAGAAAATACTAAAATTATGTTTTTCACACGTTTCGTAAATATTGTTTAGAAAATAAGACAAAAAATTACAAATTAGCTAGGCTATTGGAAAATTGCATACAAATAATTTCTGTTCGCATGTTATGTAGGCTATAGTTTAGAAACACAATTTCATAATTCCTAATAAAAAAAATATTAGTCTCTCCGTGGAAGGCCGTGCACGGTCTCAGAGTAGAATATGCTGCAGTCCGCATGCATCATTTCACAAATTTAGGATTGATTTCACATGTTAAATTACAGCTGAGCAGATCGGGCAGATCAGGTAAAATGTTCCTAACGAAAAACAAAACAAACAGATCCTCCTGTTACATGGTTCATCCTGTTTCCCTGTCTACGAGGTTCATTTAGACCACAAATATCCTACAACTGTGGATCCATGAGAGGATTTAAAATGAACATATCTTAATTAAATAGGCAACATTTTGATACGTCAATGCTTGTTAGATAAGCCCTATATTTATTTAGCATACATGCAGGACGCCTGCTGTTTGTTGATGGCACTGCCTGTCGACTTGTTGACAGATTGCAGCATGAAAGCAGGTGAAATGTTTGATCTCTTCATTCATGCATAACGTCAGGGACGAGTCTGTAACAGCCCACCGCTGCCTTTAAATGACCTGACCGTTTTATCCTTTTGATTACTCTGCCGGAAAGGCCCGTGGAGAGGGTCAACCTCTCTCTCTCTCTCTCTCTCTCTCCCTCTCTCTCTTTCTCTCCCATCCATGACAGTTCTCCTGTGCGCGAGCCGTTACACTGGCTCTCTATGCGGACACGTGCGCGGTCCTCTCTCTCTCTCCTCTCTTTGGGTGATGCAGTCAGAGATTCCAGCGCTCGCGCTGTCACCAACAGGACCCCCAACTGATAAAACTGCTTGGGAAAAATACAAAATTGTCTTTTTTAACGACAACCGAGGACATATTTTGTTTTTTGTCTCTGTTTTGGGGCATCTCTTCGTTGAGGCAGATGACAAGGAGAGTTTCTGAGGGTGTACTATGGATGAGCAAGCCAAGAAAAGCGGCTGAGGATTTGAAACAGTTTGGGTGAAACTGTTAGGCTGCCGTTAAAAGGGAGGTTAGCGCACTTCTCGACGACATCACAGAGGCAACAGGCATGACTTTACAGTAGCAGTTGAAAAGCAAATATCAACCTGCATGCATCTGCCTCTCTGCTTTTTACTCGGTAATATAATTTCCAGTTGAAGAACGCATTTTATTCGGATAAAGATGGCTCACCTAATACGACACAAGCTCACCAACAAGCTGACCAATGCGGCCCACACGGTGTCCAACAAATCTCAGGCCAAGGTCAGCGGGGTGTTCGCCCGGATGGGCTTCCAGGCCGCGACGGACGAGGAGGGCTTGGGTTTCGCCGAGTGCGATGACTTGGATTATGACTACAGGCAAGGGATGCAAATGGATGTCCTCCAGGGAGAAGAAGAAGGAGGACACACGGAGGGAGAGGGGGAGCTGGAGGGGGACAGCCACTATCAGAGAGACGGCACCGGTCGGAGGCCCTCGTCCCTGAAGACAGGTGGATCGCTGGATGAGGATAAGCCTAAAATCACGTCATGGGAAGCTGGCTGGAACGTCACCAACGCCATTCAGGTAGCCCACATTGTGATTACTATCATCTTGCATGTGAAAGCAAAAATGCTGCATGGATGAGGCCTGCACTTGCACAAAAAGTCACCTTGAACATTTTCAGATTTCAGATTTATGCAAGGAAAAGAGAGGATGCGCATCATTTCACACAATCCAAGATTAGAATAAAGCATTGTGTTCAATTTTGTCGAATACATTTTTATTGAGCTTTCAAATGTATTGAAAAATCTAATACAGGCTTTAATTTAACGTTTAATTCAAGGCTTGAGAGTGAATTCATTAGAGTCAATGGGTCTTAGAATTTATTTATTCAAATCTTTTTATCAGTGGAGCTGCAGGCAGGGCCTGTTCGATTTTGATAGCCCTGAGGCTGAATGCACCCACGTGCTTATCAGCGTCTCCATCAAATTGAAGTTGTAATCAAATTCATTTAAAAATTGGTTTTAAAATTGTATTTTTAATGCCTTGATTCGATTCAGTCTAAAACATACGCAAACGAAAGGCCTAGGATATTTCAAGGGCGAGGCGAATGAGAAAACAATTGTGTGATGCAGAATTAATCAGCTACGTGATAAATCCCACGCTTCTGTTTTGTATTGTTCTCTTAATGTACAAAAAAAACGTTTTTTTACTGTTATAATGTGAGATGTGAGCTGTGTGCGTCAGTCACTGCATGTCCGGCCTCGCTCGGCCTGTCACTGCGATGTGGGCCCCGTCCATTACCACTCAACTGCGCTTCTCTGTCCGCAGGGCATGTTCGTCCTCGGCCTGCCGTACGCCATCCTCCACGGCGGCTACCTCGGCCTCTTCCTCATTATCTTCGCGGCTGTGGTGTGCTGCTACACCGGCAAAATCCTCATCGCGTGTCTGTACGAGGAGAATGAGGACGGCATCAAAGTGCGCGTGAGGGACTCCTACGTGGACGTCGCCAATGCCTGCTGCGCGCCCCGCTTCCCAGCGCTGGGCGGACACGTGGTGAACGTGGCTCAGATTATCGAGCTGGTCATGACCTGTATTCTTTACGTTGTGGTCAGCGGCAACCTGATGTACAACAGTTTCCCGGGGTTTCCCGTCTCCCAGAAAGCTTGGTCTGTGGTGGCCACCGTCGCGCTCCTGCCTTGCGCGTTCCTGAAGAACCTCAAGGCCGTGTCCAAGTTCAGCTTGCTCTGCACTCTGGCGCACTTCGTCATCAACGTCCTCGTGATTGCCTACTGTCTCTCCAGGGCGCGTGAGTGGGCCTGGGAGAAGGTCAAGTTTTATATCGATGTAAAGAAATTCCCCATTTCAATCGGCATCATCGTGTTCAGCTACACCTCTCAGATCTTCCTCCCCTCCCTGGAGGGAAACATGCAGAAGCCCAGCGAGTTCCACTGCATGATGGAGTGGACTCACATCGCAGCCTGCGTCCTCAAGGGCCTCTTCGCCCTGGTGGCCTACTTGACTTGGGCAGACGCCACCAAAGAGGTCATCACGGATAACCTGCCTTCAACCATCCGGGCTGTGGTGAACATCTTCCTCGTCGCCAAAGCGCTGTTATCTTACCCACTGCCGTTCTTTGCTGCAGTTGAAGTTATGGAGAAATCCTTTTTCCAGGATGGCGGGAGAGCGTTCTTCCCGGACTGCTACGGCCCGGGTGGGCAGTTGAAATCATGGGGTCTGGGCCTTCGAATTGGCCTGGTAGTCTTCACCTTGCTTATGGCCGTCTTTGTCCCCCATTTCGCCCTCCTCATGGGTTTAACTGGGAGCCTCACCGGCGCTGGCCTGTGCTTCCTCTTGCCAAGCCTCTTCCACCTGAAGCTCCAGTGGAGGAATCTCCTGTGGCACCACGTCTTCTTCGACGTTGCCATTTTTGTTATTGGAGGCATATGCGCCATATCTGGCTTAATCCACTCGATTGAAGGGCTCATAGAGGCGTTCAAGTACAATATCCACGACTGAGAGCTTCAGAGGTGACCTTTATTGAATGATGATGTCCTAAAATGCCGCACTCCGGCAGGTTGTCATGGCGCAGACCTTATCAAAACATCACGTTGACCACTTGACATATAAGCCCATGAGGAGGATTATTTGTGTGAAATGTACATCTTTTTATTTTGCCTTCGTGATAATGTGCAATAATAAACTCTACAATCATAGTGTAAAGTAGTCTACTCATTCCAGAAAACATGTTTTATTAACTGGACAGAGGAACACAACCTCCGCATGAAGGGGGGTGATTAAATATGCGGGAATTAACAAGCCTGTCCAGGTATCAGTCTTCATGCAAATGTGTCAAAGATCCAGTGAAAATATCCGCCATGGGTCTAACTGTGAGTGTGTACGTGTTAATATCTGGGGAATGAAATATGTGAAAAACAATGGAGTGAATATGTTATATTGGTTTTTGAGCTGCTAGTTATGTTATTAAACTCACTTCAGAGAAAATACAAGGCATAAGACCAGGGCACCCATCAGCTCAGATGGTGCTCTTTGGATTATAATAAACCATGAATAACGTATGTGTAGTTGTTTAAATATAATTCTTTTTTGAGTTTGTTTTCGTTTTGTGTTTTGTTTTCCATCTTATGCCTATAGTAGTCCTCCTTGGCTCTTTGTTTTCTTGGTGTTTCAAGTGTCATTCTGGATGAAGTGAATTCAAAGTGCAAGCAAGTGGGTCCTAATTGTGTTATATGAACCATGTCTGTCTGATAATATTCTCTTCCTATTGAACTTGTTAATTGTGATTTAATGGAACTAATCATGGTGTGTGAGACAAAGAGTATTTGTTGAATTAAGAGATAAATAAATCAAATATTTTATGGCTGGTGATTCTAATGTTTCCTTGAAATGTACCCAAAGAGAAGTGGCCTTGCTGATTTGACTTTCTCTTTTGTTTCTACTGCTCTGGGCCATTTTTAACATCCTCTAAAAACAGCTGATCATGCTTCCCCTTCTTTAAAGAACAATGTGAGCATCAAAGACAAGACGGGTTTGCAGCTGCGATGCTGTGTGTGAAATGCCAGCTACATTTGCCAGTTGAAATCATTCATGATATGGTGCAGAGGCAGAATTACAGTAGCATTTTGAGCTTAGGTATCACCCCATTGCCCTTCAGAAATATTAAAGCCAATTTGTTGCTTACTTAAAATGTCAGCAGAACAGGAGATAATTTTCACTTCCTTTTTACATGCCATTCAACCATGACATGTCTGAGAACGGAGAGGTTGTTCAAATTGTTTCTGATATTCAGGACTTCAGTACCTTTAAAAACACTCTTTACTTTATTCATAAAAATATATATCAATATATCTTTAACACTTTAGCTCTGATAACACTGATTTTGTTTAGAATGTAGTGTTTTGCTTTACACGCTTAAGCTCTGCCAATTGCTTGGTTAACACAGACAGAGAAGAATCAAAACATTGTTTCCTGTTCCCCGCACACACACAAACCAGTGCAGTTGTCTGTCCCATCCCAGGATATTGTCAGATGACAGTGAGTTTCACTTCTCAGTGATAGCTTACAGGAAGTACAAGCTGCGTCTGAATCAACGGCAGTGAAACGGTGGAGACGTTTGTTCAGATGTACGACATCAGGAGCTGACTTTCAACTTCGCAACTACACTGCGTCCTGCAGTAACTCAGGTATGCTACATAACATCACCAAACAGCTTTATTGTGAATAAAATGTATCATTCCTTGACTGTGCAGAGTTCAAGTACACAGTAGCAGGTACAGTAAAATGTTACTTACACCACAGGGGACCCAGAAATATGCTTCCATCCATGATAACAGTGCTCATGCTGATTCCTTTTACCTGTGGACAAAACCCTGCAATACAAGTCATTCTGACCAACAAAGGACTTCAGTACGGTAAGGCAAAGTGAGATGGTGTTATTCACTCAGTTTATTTAAACATACATTTTAAAGGGTGTTAGATTGCTTTGTATTGTGGCTACATGAGTCTTTTTGTTAATAACCCCAACAAAAATTGACCTGTATAATCTGTACATGAGACATGTTTCATTTACAACTATTAAAACTGTACACATGTGCTGTTCACCCCAGGAAAGCATGCAGGTGCAGGATGGATTCAGGATAAGTTGGAGCTTGTCACTTTCCCTGACATCAGCGGTGAAATCGGCTTGAGCATCCTTGGTAGCATTTACTACACATTAACAGGGTAGGATTATATTTGACATTCTTCATATAGAGGTTAAATATAAGTTATTTCCTAGGCTCAGATGTGCTCTTCTCATTTGAGCTCTTCAAAAAGGAATAGGCTGAGTATGACAGAATTTATAAAACAGTTTCATTAGACCTTTTGAAATTACACAGATATGTGTCCTCACGTCTATTTACACCTGTCTCTCCTCATGTGCACTAGCATCACCATAACAAAGTGCGACCTACCAGAGCCATCTGTCGAGTTCTATCAGGACGTTACAGGATTCAAGACATCGATTTCAGGCTTAAGTGTCGCACTATCTGGCAACTGGTTGACAAACTTTGGCATAATGTGAGTTTTGCCTAATCTCTGCACTACATGTTCACTCACTGATCACAAAGCTAGTAACTCAACAGCTTTTCAGTCAGTTTGTAGGGATATTTCTCAGGTTTTCCATTTGGACAAAAGACAATTCTTCCGAGCACCTGATATAATCTGATCATCCTCTGTAACAAAATGTAAAAGTTTTTGAAAAGAGTGATTACATGTACATCTTTTCACTTAAATGTATAAGAACACTTCATTTCAAATGTTGAAAGACAAATGTGCTTCTTAATGAGGAAGTGATATTAAGCCCAAAAGAGCCTTTGTGTTCTCAGTTCTTCTGAGGTCAAGTAGAAGTGTTGTTTAAAGGTCATTGTCATCGTCTCCAGCGCTATATTGTTTTAACTCCTGTACATCACTGACTCCAATCTTACACAGACAAGAAAACACCTGTTCACTTATCCTACATCATCCTTGGTTTTTAAATTGAATTGATCTTTATTTTGGTCTTTATGTTACAAAAAATATATCAAGATTTTACTGTAAAGTCATTGCATTAAAACCAGAATATGCCATATTATCATGAATGAAATGATATCAGTTAGATTTGTTAATTACTGTTAGCTAAGTATACAGTGATCAGTGGTATAAAACCTCCAACAAGAAGGTTATGTGATCTACTGGGGGGACTGGCATGAAAGCTGTTATGCACATTCACACTCAAAAAGGAAGAAACCAATGGTTTTGGTGACTTCCTGTTCTTTCTCTCAGTGTGACTTTGGGTGTCTGCATATAACTACATTGCAGTATACATAGTAAATGTTGAATGTGAAAGTAACAGCTAACTTAGACAATATCAGGCCGAAGCAGAGGTCTGCAGTCTGCAGAACATGCAGTTTATATCAAAGTATATATATTACTCAAAACAAAATGGCATGGTTATGCCTATTCTTGAATGGCAGCAATGATAAATGACCTTTTAGATGTACTGTAAACAAGGAAGCAAGGAAAGGAAACATCAAACAATAAAAACAGAGTATATCACTTTTATAATTAAGATAAATGTGCAATTTATAAATACATGTATAATAATTTATAACCTGGAAAATTTAGTGAGGTGGGTCTGTTGATTTTATGTGTATGTAGTACAAATACACCCACATGGCAGAGGATTGCTGTGGCTCTAGGGGAGTATGTTGTCTGTGCAAATTTTCACCAACACCAACGTGCACTTACTATGTTTGTACGGTGTATTTTCAGACACGACGGGGGATCATTTGACATGGCTATATTTAATGTGGATTTGACCTCTGTAGTGACGCTGGGGAAAGATCCTGATGGGCATCTGTCTGTCACCAGCGTAAGCTGTGATGCTCAAGTTGGAGATGTGGACGTCCAATTCCATGGTGGAGCCAGGTACAGTAGAACAGAGGGAGAGAGAGATAAAAGAAAAGATACTGATGTCAAGATATAAGCCCTGCATTTTTATTTGTCAATAGTTGGATGTTCCAGCCTTTAGTGAAACATTTCAAGGGGCACATCAGAGGTGAAATAGAGGACAAAGTGAGTGTTTCTTCTATATCCTTGTCATATATATCAGTGAAGGCTTTATATATCCTCTTTGACCATCAGATAATGTTACGGTGAAACCGACTGTAAAAATTTTCAGGGGTGAGCATTGTATGACATTTGTCTTGTTGCTGCCTCTATAGATCTGCCCTTGTGTGGAGGAATACATTGTAATCTTGGAGGACTACCTACAGGTCATGAACGGTATTGCAGCAGGATGGATAAAAACCCTAATTTCCAAAAACGTTTACACAATACCAGAAATTTTAATTTATAAACAGATAAATCAGTCTACAAATGATTTCTATTCTGATCAGTTTCCTTTGATGTGGATCAAGACCTTACTCTGGACCTCCCTCTCACCGGCTTACCCGTTATTGATGCTTCAAATCTGAATCTGGGTTTTAAGGTAAGGATACACAAATTTAAGCAGTTTCATGTGATCCATTTTAATATTGTGGAAGTCCCCTTGCTTTTGGCCACATGTTTTCAGGCACTTCTTTCACTTCTTCTTTATATGGTAGCCTTTAATGTCCATGGCTAACTTTAATTTATAATGAGGGCCACAACACATGATATAAACAGCAGAAACATGATCAATGGCTGTAATTGATTATTTGCTCATCTTCATTTAAAGGGAGAATTCTACTTTATCAAAACTCACACAGACCCTCCCTTTGAGTCCAAGCCTTTCACCGTACCTGAGCAGCCAGGCCACATGTTGTCAGTGGGTCTGTCTGAATTCACTCTGAATTCTGCCTCATATGGATACTACTCAGCTGGACTGCTTCAGCTCCTCATCAATGATAGCATGGTAAGTGCACCTTTAAAGATGCATATATGATGGAGAGGAAGAAAGCAGAGAAGAAGGCAAGTTTGGTTTCAGGTCTTAAACAGCTCATCCATTTAGGCACTCATTTTGGTTAACTTTTGGTTTACCTTAAACAATGTATGTGGTTGAGAATTGTTGTTTCATCATCTCAGATACCCCCAGGCTGTCCTCTGCACCTAAATACCAGCGCAATGGGGCCTTTCATTCCTCAGGTAAGTTTATCTGTTATCAGGGTTACAATTGGCAACTCCTAAGAATTTTATTAACTCACTGTATGAATGGCTTTATGTCAGCAGGCACCTAGTGTCAAGTTTCTACCATCCACAGGCTTGATTATGAACAAGAAAACAGCTTGAAAATGAGAAAATGAGCCCTTCCTTAAAAATGTTTGGTGGGAAGATGACAGCATCGTGGTTCACACTGCAGTGTTTCATCTTCAGCATCAGAATCACATATTTAACATTATTAATGATAACTATTATTTGGGCCAGGCTTGCCCACTCCAGACCACAGACAATGTGTTATATCTCTTTAAGCCTTTATGAAGGTCAACACTTCAGACAGTCCCCTCATTTTTTTACCTAGTAATCTTTTTTTTGTTGTAAACAATATCCCATTTGTTTGTTCTGGTCAAAAGCCTGGCAGTTGAATTCTACACAGTCTGGAATCGATCAATAGATTTTTGTTTAAAACTAGTAAACAGGCTGGTGCAGTAATCCAGGCGTGACAAGATGAAGGCGTGTCTCATTGTCTTTAAAAGTTAACAAATATAATATTTTTGATATTTTTCCAAGATAATGAAAATACAATTGCACAAGCTCTGTGGTGTGCTGCTCAAAACTGAAATTGCTGTCAAACCAGACACCAACATTCCTTGCAACATGTTTAACGCAGTCCACTAGGGAACCAGCAGATGGCAGACTTTGTTTTGCTATCCTGGGTCCCAATAACAAGGATCTCTGTTTTGTCTGAGTTCAGCTGGAGGAAATTTTATGACATCCAATTTTTGACATTACAGTCAGTCAGTCAGTCAATCTGTTGGGCAAACACCTTGTTTCTGCATGATTTGTCCAAGGGGAAGACCAAACACTGGCATATCATACTTAACAGAACAAAATAAATTAAGTGGAAATTAATAATCATTTTATAGGTAGATGTCTGATTTTACATTGGATTGGTTGTTTCCTTAAGTCTGTATTACATTATACTGTGTATATGTCAACATCCAATCAAATGTGTAGCGAAGGACAAGAGCAGTAATCCTTCCCGGAGTCGAAAACGGGTCTACAGAATACCAAACATGCAACTTTGACCACAATGCCAAAGAGCCAGGCCCGTTGGGATGGCAGTCCAAGAGCATTCTCAACCGTAGTGACAGTACTCCGTCACACTCTATGTCTGTGAAAAAGTTGCTGTAATGCCAAAGCCACCAAGAACACCTAACTCTGTTAAAACAGCATTTGTATTTCCTCTTCAAAAAGGAGTACTACTTATGAATGTCTTTTCCTTATCATTATCATAACTACATTTAAAAACACCTGTTTTACAATTGCAGTGTGCTTTAAACAATGAAAACAATTTGTACGGATGCCAGTACCTTTTAACTGACCACCACAAGCATGAATATCATCTCATTTTCGAACTTATAACTCACTAATTTTGGCACTATATAGGTTTTTAACGTTAGGACAGGTTCATCTTCACATTTGGTATCATAATTTTATATATTCCTCTTCATCTCGGCCTTAGTTACCGACTACTTGCTCTTGTTTAACTGACATGTTCATTTCCCATAAGTCTACCTTAAAAAAAACATGAAAAGAATACTAAGTACTAGAAAAACGAACTTGATTTCAAACATGAGTACAGAACGTTCCGCATCGTCTATCACTTGTCTTGGATCTCCCTCTGCTTGAATTTCTAATCTAACATAAGTTTCTATTTCCTCTTTTACTTGTTTTACCAATTGATTCATCAATTTCTCAATCACTTCTGTGCTCTTCTGTTCACCTGAACAGCTTGGCAACACAATGTTCACATTCGGCTCTGAAATGGAAAAAAAAATCCCTATTTAGAAACATTTTTAAATATTTAGCAGTAATATGTTAGAGCCTATTAAAATAATTAGAAAAAATGTAGTAGCCTACCTCTGGTAAAACTTTGACTGGTGAGGTACTTGAAGTCTGTGAGGATACATGAAGATTAATGGAATTAGCTACTGAAACAGAACTCCATAATTTTCATTAAAGTTTCACTGTGTTTGAAATTTGAGTTCCTACTGGTCTTGAGTGCATCGTAGATCCTTACCGTAGTTGTGTTGTTCTCCCAAAACATGCGATGCAGAAAAGCTAGTATCTAGTGTTCATACTAATTTGCCACAAAAAATCCTTCATTAATCGACGTATATCCTAAAACCCAACAATTGCTCTTTCAGTATCATTTTTATTATAACTTCTCTTTCTGCATTGTGCCTCCTTTATGAAAAAAACCCTGCTTTTTACAGCAATGAGCCGTTATGGCTGCATCACAGCCCACCCGAGTCTTCAAAGAGCACCTACACAATAATACCATCCCCAGATTCTTCTCTTGTTCTTTATTAATTCAGTTGTACTGAGGCCATGTCACACAGAAGTGAAGGGCAGGTTTTGTACCTGTTCATAAGATAATGTGCACTCATAACTAATGCTGCAAACTAAAGCAAACTCAACTAGCAGGATAATATCTATGTAGTTGTTAAGAAAATCCCCCTTCTATTTTGGTAAAGAGATAGGAGATACTTGTAAAGAAGATTGCAAATCTTTTTTCCAATTCAAGTTGACAACCACACCAAATCAGAAAAACCCACAGAGAAAATCCAGTCCTCACATCTGAAAAGCTGAATCCAGTTGGTAAGTTGTTCCGATGATGAACTGATCATGTAAATTGACGTCCTCTTAATCGGCTAATGGTGTCACTGGATAAAGGGTGTCACTGCAGTACTAGTTTGGGATGAAACTTACCTGGCATTTTTTACACTCACACTAGTCAGTCAGTACAAGCATTGCTGATTCACAGTTTAGCCTCATGGACAGTTAATAGGGCACAGTATACACTCACCTAAAGGATTATTAGGAACACCTGTTCAATTTCTCATTAATGCAATTATCTAATCAACCAATCACATGGCAGTTGCTTCAATGCATTTATGGGTGTGGTCCTGGTCAAGACAATCTCCTGAACTCCAAACTGAATGTCAGAATGGGAAAGAAAAGTGATTTAAGCAATTTTGAGCGTGGCATGGTTGTTGGTGCCAGACGGGCCGGTCTGAGTATTTCACTGCTCAGTTACTGGGATTTTCACACACAACCATTTCTAGGGTTTACAAAGAATGGTGTGAAAAGGGAAAAACATCCAGTATGCGGCAGTCCTGTGGGCGAAAATGCCTTGTTGATGCTAGAGGTCAGAGGAGAATGGGCCGACTGATTCAAGCTGATAGAAGAGCAACTTTGACTGAAATAACCACTCGTTACAACCGAGGTATGCGGCAAAGCATTTGTGAAGCCACAACACGCACAACCTTGAGGCGGATGGGCTACAACAGCAGATGACCCCACCGGGTACCACTCATCTCCACTACAAATAGGAAAAAGAGGCTACAATTTGCAAGAGCTCACCAAAATTGGACAGTTGAAGACTGGAAAAATGTTGCCTGGTCTGATGAGTCTCGATTTCTGTTGAGACATTCAGATGGTCGAGTCAGAATTTGGCGTAAACAGAATGAGAACATGGATCCATCATGCCTTGTTACCACTGTGCAGGCTGGTGGTGGTGGTGTAATGGTGTGGGGGATGTTTTCTTGGCACACTTTAGGCCCCTTAGTGCCAATTGGGCATCGTTTAAATGCCACGGCCTACCTGAGCATTGTTTCTGACCATGTCCATCCCTTTATGGCCACCATGTACCCATCCTCTGATGGCTACTTCCTGCAGGATAATGCACCATGTCACAAAGCTCGAATCATTTCAAATTGGTTTCTTGAACATGACAATGAGTTCACTGTACTAAAATGGCCCCCACAGTCACCAGATCTCAACCCAATAGAGCATCTTTGGGATGTGGTGGAACGGGAGCTTCGTGCCCTGGATGTGCATCCCACAAATCTCCATCAACTGCCAGATGCTATCCATCAATATGGGCCAACATTTCTAAAGAATGCTTTCAGCACCTTGTTGAATCAATGCCACGTAGAATTAAGGCAGTTCTGAAGGCGAAAGGGGGTCAAACACAGTATTAGTATGGTGTTCCTAATAATCCTTTAGGTGAGTGTATATCCATATTAACCTGGGGTGGTGATGGCGCAGTGATAAGACACATGCCTTTGGTGTGGGAGACCCAGGTTTAATTCCCTTCTGTGACACGTCCTCCAGTGTATCCCTGAGCAAGACACTTAACCCCTAGTTGCTCCAGAAGCGTGCAACCTCTGACATATATAGCAATTGTAAGTTGCTTTTGATGAAAGCGTCAGCTGAAAAAATAAATGTAATGTAAATGTATTAAAGTTGCTGTTAAATAGAATCCTGAAGTAAATCTGACGGTCGACCAGATTCCAACACAAACAGGAAAACGAGAGGTTGTAATTTAAAATGATTAGACAAATACTAACTAACACATGAACAGTAACAAAGTTTAAAACTTCTGAGTATAGATCATACACTGTATAGATGCACATTGTTTTTATCTCTTTTTTTTTTTAAACAAAGGTCCAGAGTGAATCAGAGAAAAAACTAGACTGGATAACAAAACTTTCTGAGGCACATCTATTTAGTTCAGTATTGTAATGCAGTTATAATGCACCACAGAGTGCAACTTGTTATCCCTTCTCCCCTCCCAGTTTTTCTGTCCCAACACTGCTCTGTTCATGAAATGTTGTCACAATATCTTAGAATGAAATGCTTACCATCCACTTGTTTCTCTCTGCAGCTCCCCAAGATCTTTCCAGGTCTGCTGATGAATCTGCAGGCTTATGCCAGAGAGGTTCCAATGTTTTCCTTCCAGCCAGGTGCTGTTAAACTGGACCTCCAGTGCGCTGTCAAGGCTTTTGCCATCCAGCCAAATGGGACCCAAACCCCACTGTTCAAACTCAATGTTGTGAGTACTTCTGGCATATCGACACACACCAGAATGAACGCATGCAAGTGTCTGTTATGTTTTTCTTTATTTTAATCTTTATATAACAACACAACACAATATTGTGATGTGATCGCACATTTAAGTACATTCAAACCTTGTTCGCCCAGTATGTTATTACATTTGTGCCTTACAATTATTATCACTCAAGGAGCAAGTTACACAACTCGAGGCATAATGAATACATGCATCTGTTTGTGTCTTCTGTGTTCATGTATTCATTCAGTTGGCAGTTAAACTAGTGCTAAAAGGATTTGTCAATTAATCTAATTGTTTAATTGACCAAAAATTAATGAATAACTATTTTGATTAGTGACTAATAGTTTAAGTCATTAATCAAGCAGAAATACTGAACATTTGCTGGTTCCAGCTTTTCATACGAGATTTCTGACATTTTGTCGACTAAACAACTAACTGATTATCTTAAAAAAAAAAACCTGACAAGTTAATCATAATAAAAATTATCATTAGTTGCAGCTGTAATTTAAAACTCTTTCTTTCAGGACTTGAACTTCAGCGGTAAAGCGTGGATTGCTGATGGAAGACTGAAGGGCAACATCTTAAAGAACAAGTGAGCAACACCATGTTTTAAAAAGAGTTCACAAACTCAGACTTAAACTAATGATACAACTTTCTCTTAAACAGTCTTACAATGACGCTGGTGTCGAGCGAAGTGGGCACCTTTTCGGTAGGCTACATGATATATTATAATAACTGCATCAAATTTCATGGTAGTCTCAGTCAGCCTTTTGTGTGAACAAACTGAGGAGAATCAAACAGTGACGAAAGAATCACGTTTCTCTTTGCAGACTGATCCTTTGGAAAACCTTGCGAAGATGGGATCGAGGGTAATCTTGGCAAAACTGAACGGTGAGTCTTAGTGATGCGAGTTCTCGCTTCAGTCACCAACCGGTGCTCTGAGAGTGTAAGGTGAACGATTAGTAGCTTATAAATAGTCATTTATACTCCACTCCAATCATCACTATTGCCCCAAAGTTTTTATTTTGTGTTTTTCTTTCTGCTATGTTCAGGGATATTTGGCACAAAATTGGCAGCCTATGAAATGTTTTATTATTCCACTCTTTGGAATAGCAACGTAATGCTTAGAATTTTCAGTGTGAACTTATTTCATTACAGTAAGGTAGAGCAACACAGGACAGCAAGCATGTTTTTATTCAGAATTTGACCATTCAGTACTGATCCAACATAATGTGGGGGGAGCTACAATACTGTATAATGTGAACATGTTCATTGTCCTTGTCTTGACATGTAGCTTTCTGTTTCAGAGAAACTGGCCGTGGGTGTTATTTTACCCAGAATGAGACAAGCACAGCTGGTCAACACAGTTCTGGAAGTGGATGAGGTCAGTATTAGCAGAAGTACACTGTTGAGTTAATGTTTTTTAATTAAGAGAAGAAATGGTTACTGAGCTGACCATTGTCTTTATTCCTGACAGGGATTTATAGCCATCTCTTCAGATGCTGAGGTGCTACCAGACAGAGGCTTCGACTGACAACCTGGCCTGTTTAACTCTGGCACATGGGTGCACTTCATCTCAGTTCAGATTCTTAAACTTTAAACCAGTGAACAAACTGGATGTGTATCTGACACCACATGACAAAAGCACTAGCGTGTAAAAAGGTACAGCTACATATACACTGGACTGTAAATGTTTAACACACCTGCCTACACAGTAGATAATCAACATTTCTGTACTCGTGATTTACCATTTCAGTTTTCAACCTGCAGCTCAACTTTTCAAATGTTTATAACATGGAGGTGTACAGCCTAAAATTTGATCTTTTGTTGACAGAATAATGTAAAGATGTTTTGTTTTTTAATGCATTCACACTATTATTAATCTAAAAATTGTAAAACCTAGCTGAGTAAAGGGGTTAAAAATCTTAACTGAACTTGTTTTTGTTTTTTTCCCCCCATTTTACAAATCTCTACTAAAAGATGTGGCCTTTGAATCCAGTCTGATTTTCATGTGATTTGATTTTATCTTTCAAATTCTATTCATGGAGGTTTTGTTATAGCAAAAAGGAAACATTTGTGGTTTGTCACAGTATGCTGTGTCACTGTGTTATAATCCCAGAGGGCACCAGATTTAAATATATATAAACATGAAAAACATCTGAAAATGCACAATGATGGCAGGGATTAGGACAGACTATTTAAGGGCAACCTTTTTTTTTTATTCAGACATTTGAACTTTCATTTACTGCCATTTTTGACCCCCAGGGATATGAATACCATATCTTGATTTATCTGCATTTTCCACTTAAAGCAATTTAGTGGCATCTTCTCCAGCAGTCAGGAGCCAATTAGCAGGGTTTTTTTTCTAAAGACAAAATCAGGGACAAAAACACCTGAATGTAAGATCTGAGGCTACACTGAATAAGAAAAATGTGCTGTTTTGGTTAAGGAGAAAACCTCTCAAGAGGTAATGAAGACACTTCACCACCATATTCATCAAACAATGACATCTGTTTATTTTGAAACCTTTCAGTCTGCACTCTTTAGATTCTGTTACATGTTGACATTCTTGGAATGTAACACCAACAACAAAATATAAATAAGCCTATTTACAGCCACTGTTCCTCACAGAAAAAAAAAAAAAAAAAAAAAAAAAGTCTCACTTCATGAAGAGACACTGCCACTATCCACTGACTGGCTGAGCGACCAGACCAGACTTCAAACAGAATGATCCTGAGCTGGAAAATACATGAGATGTAACAGTTAGTTGACTATGAACACGCCTTTCAAAAGAAGCTCAGCTGAACTGGAAGCAGGTGTGAAAAGTACTAACTGAAACCATGACAGTCGATGGAGATACTGACTGTGGAGACTTGTGATGCTGAGCTCCATCAACAGATACTGTAACACAAATAGTTTTAGTTGAACCACTAACCACTTTAAATGTAAACGTGTCAATTTGCAGAACTGTTATTACAATTTCTAGAGAGAAGAATGAATAAGAATTACAGATTATGTTGGCTTTATTTTAACACGGTTTTTATGAAAGAAGCAAACAGGGAAACTGAAAAAAAACTATGCTAACTATGTAGCACCTGAGAGTCTGCAATGGCATAACAAAGGGAAATGAACTATAAAAACACCACAAGCTAACAGCTTTTAAAATCGAACACAATTTAACAGCCTTTGTCAATATTTGCTAATACAAATGTATTATAAATAACACCATCTACAGACAGTATGAAGTACAAAGTTGTTTTGTTCATGATAATAAATATAGCTTGAAAAGTGTTTAGGGGTTGACAGCACACAGTGATTCTGAACACAACCCTGCAGAGCTCCTCTTACAAGACAACAAATGAAACACTGAGGTGAATGCAAACATGTTGCTCAGTGCTCAAACACTCATTTTAAAGCCCTGCATTGTTTAAGGACTTCCTGCTACTTAAAGTGAAAGTGTAAGTACACATGCTGAAAATAAGTTAGACATTCAAGTATGCACATTCTTACTGTTAACACTTAACTATAGAACAGAGAAGAAACAAGAGACACACAGAAATCAAGTTGTTTGTATCCAGAAGATCAGAATGTGACCACCAGAAGTGACTACAGCGCAGTATACCATGCTGACATCTTCAGCAGACAGATCCATATCAAAAAGCAAATTACGGTAAACAAATAAAGGCTTCGAGACTTCGATAAATTGCAAGTTTTAGCTGGTCTTCATCGTTGTACAAAACCTTATCAGCACTACCCTCTGCTCCTGTGGTGTGGACTGCTTTGGACCACTGCACCCAAAAGTATTCTGGATTACACAGACTCACTCAGAAAGCTGGTGTACTTCCACCTGATGGCACAAGACTCGACAGGCTGTACCAGACCTGGACAAGTTCAATTTGTGTTCAACACCATGCAAATACACCCACAAACTGGATTCGTTGTCTGGCCACGTAACCTGCGCTCAGCTCTGCTTCCTCTGAGCTGCACCTGTCTTTACCACAAAACAGAGAGACCTTAGATATCACGCTAGTGCAGCGTGTAACTTACAATTTCAGTTCTTTCATACTTTGTTACAGCCCGTTTTGATTGCTGGAGGGGGTTTTGGCTTCGAGAAACTTTGGTCAGTTCTGTTGTACAAAGCAAGATCAGCCAATCCAGAAAAAGTCAGTAACAAGTGACTTCATTTCAGCCGTTAAAGGATTTGGAAATAATAAGGGAACATAAGAGAGATTAAAAGTTTAAGATGAAGGGGAGAAAAGAAAAGAGGAAACTTATGAAATGATGTGGAGGCACAGTGTGAATATTTATAAAAGAAAAAAAAAAGAGCTTTAACATCACAAGACTACGTCCTATGAGCTTCAAGTGCAGTCCAATTCAACCCTGTTTGTTTTTTATACCGTCATCAGCTCAACGCTCCCCATCACTGCCCACAGCGGCGAGTATCAAACCCGTCTACGCAGACTGCTGAGGAGGAACGAACAGCAACTTCTTGTGATATACACACAAAGAAAGGATGGGGCTGTGGATATTAGGCTGTGCTTGCAGATTGGGTGGGAGGAAATGTATGAGAGGTCCGTCGGTTCATGATGGCGGACAAAGCAGCGGTGGAAAGCCGGGATCATTTGTCTGCAACAGCTGCTGCCATGGGAACGCGTATAGTGCCACGAGCGGTCGCCGCCAACTCCTCGATTTCTGTGTTTAGTCGTCTGATGACCCACTCCATCGCCTCCCGACCCTGAGACAGACAGAGGAACAGACGGAGTGTTACAAAACATAATGTGAAGTGACAGGTGTGCCGTTATGAAAAGAGATGTTGGGCCATACTGTCACGACGAGTTATTGGGAGATTTAAAGGTGGCTTCACCTTGCCAGCGTTGGCAGAGATGGTCTTGGCCATGAGACCCTCGAGGTAGCTACTCAGACTGACACCTTTCACACTGATCAGAGCCTCCTGTGTCAGCACCGTCCTGAACACAACAAATAAAAAGGTCACAAACAGTGCTTCTGAAACAATCAGCACAATGTTAAATCTGTTTTTTTAATACATTTTAGAATCTTTCAATTAAAACAAAAACCTTTTGCCAACAAAAGTCCTCCATAAATCCACCAGTAATTTTAGCATTTACAATTCCCCTTGAAATACTCAGGTCCAAGCAGACACATTTAGACAGAACTAGAAAATTGTAATTATTTAGCCCACGAGTGACATTTGATATTTATAAAAGAATAAAAAATGTTTTATATAATAGGACATTTTATATATTTTTTTTAAAAAGTCATTTACTTTTCAGGATCCTGCGGATGTGGTTTGTAGGTCAACTTCTCATCCACAGATACCAGGTTAGTGAAGGAGATCTGGAGGGAAAAAACAAAAAAGTTGGCATTTGTCTTAGTAAAGCTGTAAAATATATTTCTCATAGTGAACATGTTAAAGCAGGAAAAACACAAATATGTAACTGATAACATTAACAATGGCTTCAACTGGGATGCAACAATTAATTATGTTATGTCTCTCTCTCTCTCTCCCTGTCCAATAAGTCTTCCACAATGACTGTGACTGCTTAATGAAAAATCAGGTGCCTAAGCTGACTGAGGAAATGACTGCAGTTAATTAGTAGACTGCTGTGACATTGTTACAAAAAAATACAACAACTCTGTTCCACTAGAAAAGGTAAACAGACACAGATATACCAATATACCAACAGAATAGCTCAACCATAATAATTTCCTGCATTCGATTACATGAGATGTACTTTTCTGTGTCCTACTAAATACTGGCACGCACTCTACTGTACTTAAGACAAAATATCACTTGGTATCACTGTCAATCAAAACAGTTACTGAAACTGTAAATATACTCACATTTGTAGATTTCAGCTCAAAGGTCTTCTCTTTGGGGTCTACCACTGAATGTTCCTGAACGTACGTGTATGTTCTTGTTACCCCAATGATCTGCAGGAAAAAGGCTTAGTTAAAAAACACAAACCCAAAAGAATAAAAAATTATAAAACCTCCTGACATCAGCCTCGTTCGAGATGAGCTAGGCCTGAGCAGAATATATGAGATCAAGGTGGCTGCCGCTGTTGAGGCCAGGCCCGCTGATCTCCACTTACTGCAAAACTTAAGGGCATGGTAGGAAACGCCTGGCACTGCCCTGATCTAACCGCTGATTGGTTTAGATGTCAGATCAACATGTTGCTTTATAGAAATTTCTCATTGTTTAATTGGAGAGACTTTGATTAATTAGTTGTATTTTCTCTTAATAGAATTTGTGGTGAATGGTGACAGACTGAATACATTTAGCTTACATTACGTATAGTTCTCATAGACTGCATACAATCTATGACAATGTGTCTACAATATGAATATTACTTATTAAATTCTTTAGTCATCATGAAGCTAGTTTCTTAAGTTTGAGAGGGACAGATCCAACAATCAAGTCTGGACAGTAGATTGTATACACCAGCAGCCTGATTTGATGGTATGCCTTACTCAAATAATTGAGTAATATGGAGGTTAAACCATTAACGCCATCATGATGATAACTATATAGCATTTTGATAGTCTACCTGTCACACAGAAGAACATAATGCAAGCTGCAATTACCTGTGAGTACTAAATACAAGCTAAATAGATTAGTCTGATAACATTTTATTAATCGGGACCTAACAGGATGTGAGTGTTTCTGTGAAGGCTGCTAGAAGCTGACTGTCCGCTTTTTGTCACTGCTACCGCCTGCTCTCATGCACTTTCCAGGCAAGGCACAGTTATATAGCCTATAAATCAATCAGCATTACACAAGCTCAAGGGTTTCTCTCATCATCTGACTTACAGACTTGGCCATGGCGGGGAGCCCCCACTCTGTGCTGAGCAGCCTGGTGCTGTGTAACCGTCCCGTTGAGTCCACGCTTCTGTCCAGAACATCCACACCAAACACATTTGGATTCATGGGGTTGGGGTACTTCTGCATCGCCGCCTTGGTCACCGTCTCCCATGGGTGGCTGTTAAAAATAATATTGACATTAGAAACGGCAAGTTCCCAAAGACAATTTAACATTCTGGAAATAGACTGCAGAGGTTAGCAATGTCAATGTTAGTCATCTCTGGAACAATTAGATTATAATCATTGTGGCGATGTCAGTGCCTTCAATGTTTCATGTGTGTAATTTCCGGGACCCACCAATAAATCAAAATGCACTGTTATGATATGTTGAATATCAAGAATTGATAATCAGATTGATTGTTTATGTCATTCTGCCCATTTTCACCACTGAGATAGTAAGCATATTATGCTGGGCGAAAGTGAATAAATAACTTCTGTCATTCTCAAGCTTGACACAAAATGTCTCTTATCAATATGCATCATGCAAACACCAAAACACTCATGACTGTGTTTCACTCACTATACAGAGAGACAGCAGCAGCAACAACACTGAAACAGCAGTAACAATAAAACTATGCTGGATACATAAGAGACACATTTGCCATTTTACAAGAAAATATTTCAAACATGTCGTGCTGTATCATCTGGATCTACAGCAAAATTAAGTGTATCTGTACCATTACACATTCATCTCATATGTTTGACAGCTTTTATTCGTTTGATTTTATTTGATTCCATGATTAATGAGAAATCGGACCTTACAATGTTACAAAATAATTTTCTAAAAATTTTTCCAAGTTATAATCCGATATTGTCATCACTAAACATTGGTACAGAATCAAAATGGTGGAATAACCTAAATATTCCGGCTGCCATGACAGGCGGGAGGAGGAACGCCCCTCAACATAGATTCATCTAGAAACTTCTGGAAACGGACAAAAATCTCGCGACCATTGTTATACACTTACTGTCTGATAAGCAAAAATACGAAAAATACACGCAGAAAACACGGATATATTGCATTTCCATCGCAGGATCTGGCAGCCAGCCAGACCGTTATGTAACAGTTGCGGTAACTTAACTGTTAAACTCTGTTAATCCCCGTGGTTGATGCAAGACACGTGAAAAGCACATGAATCCCTTCACCGTCGATTCAATTGTGACATGTTGCAATAAGCGTTAAAATAAAACCTGACGTAAGGTTATAGGGCGAACAGCGTCCGATAGCCAAAGCTAACAGTAAACCGCTAGCTAACCTTCAAGTAAACTCTGCTCGCTAAATAAGTTTTCTTCAAGCGCAGAATGACCGACACATGTATATATTTGTTGAAAAAACATTGAACATAATGGCGAACGGAGGTCACGTTGTTTACAAGCTAAAATGTGGAAACTAACATTAACGACAAACGGTACGGTAAGCCGCAGGCTCTTTGTGTGAAGTTACCTAACTTCAACCTTAGCAAGTAAGGAGGCTAGCAACTGCAAGTTACCTAACGGGAAACTCGCAAAAACTTATTATACGAACGGAAATATGTTACTTAACATATACAGTTGTACAAAACACTATCACGGACCGAAAGCTACTCACTTGAAAATGTGCTCTGACGCCCAGATCTTCATTTTATTAGGCTTTTCTGTCAGGGGTCGGGAGCCCCGGCGACTAACGACAGCGTGACACCGGCCTGAGGAAGGAGAGAGGAAGGGACAGCAGCAGGAAACCTTTAATGGAGCCTCAGCAGCGAGACTCCCTCTGGTGGCAGAAACAGCTGCTGCACTCTGCCGTCCAGAACAATCTCCCACAGAACAAATGTTTTTATTTCATACATTTCAGCAGTGTTGGGACAAGTACTCAGATCTTTTATTTAAGTAGAAATAAATACACTGTGGAAATACTCTGTTACAAGTCGTTATTCAAACTTTTACTCAAGTAGTAGCCCAGTTTTTAAAAAAGCGCAAGAATATACTGTATGTTATACTACTGGTCTATAATTACTGACACATCGATGTTTACATTTATCTGACGCTTTTATCCAAAGCAGCTTACAATTGCTATACATGTCAGAGGTCGCACGCTCAGGGACACAATGGTGGATGTGTCACAGAGGGGGAATGACCCTGGGTCTCTCACACCATGTGTCTTATCCAGTGCACCATCACAGCCAGATGTTTGCTTCAGTTTAATGTTGCAACTGGTAAAGGTGGGACTCAAATTACTTTATGTACTACAGTAACATGTGAGTTTCTCGTGTAAACACTTATCTTAACCTATAATATTAAACAATAATGTGTTTTTGATATATTACATACATTATTAATCTCAATATGAAAAGTAACTTGTGTTGTTAAATAAATGAAGTGGAGTAAAATGTCCAGTATTTCCCTCTGAAATGAAGTGGAGTAGAAGAATAAAGTAAGAGAAACTGGAAATACCTAGCCTAAGTAAAGTCGCCTACAGTACTTGGAAAATGTTTTAGGCACGTGTGGAAAAAATGTTGTAAACTAAGAATGCTTTCAAAAATAGACATGTTAATAGATTATATTTATCAATTAACAAAATGCAAAGTGAGTGAACAGAAGAAAAATCCAAATCAAATCAATATTTGATTTGATTTGATTTTGATATTTTGATATTTGATTTTGATATTTCATCTAGGTTCACAAAGTCATGGACTTTGTCGTGGAGTGGTACACCAAGGAAACTTACTGCAGATGAAAGACACATCATACTCACTTCCCTTTGCATTCAGAAAATGTCAATCAGCTCAGAACTGGCAGAAAACAGTGGGACCCTGGTAAACCCATATACTGTCTGGAGAAGTCTGGTCAGAAGTGGCCTTTATTAAATACTTACAGTCACAAAGCCATACCTCCAATGTGGAAACAAGGCCAAGAGACCCAACTCTGCACAAAAACACAGGAACTAGGGTGCAGAAGAATTAATGGTCTCCTCACTGTTGAGTAGTACAGGTGGATACTTATTCATCATGCAGTACCATCAGGGAGGCATCTGATTGGCCCCAAATTTATTCTGCAGCATGACAACGACCCCAAACGTAAAGATTTATTAATCTCAACAAGTGATGTTTGGGATTACATGAAAAGCAACTGAGGCTGCCTAAATCCACAGGACTGTAGGTACATTTCCAAGATGTTTGGGCCAACCTACCTGTCAAGTTCGTAGAAGAACTGATGCTGTTTTGAAGGCAAAGGGTGGCCACACCAAAAATTGATTTGATGTGTTTTTCTTCTGTTCACTCACTTTGCATTTTGTTAATTGACAAATATGATCTATGGTCTATTTTGAAAGCACACCTGCCTTAAACGTTTGTGCAGTACTGTATAACAAATTGGTTTGGGATTTTTGAATACCAAATGGATTAAAATTCCCCTACTGTATAAATATTTAAATACTTTGATATTAGTACAAGGTACAGTAACTCCTGGCCCTGTTATTTCTGTTGGTGGATCCTTTAAGTCAGTAAAAACCTGTACATATATAAACGTACATTCCTAAGAGCTAAAATTAATAAATAAATCAGCGTTCTCATTTCTTAACGTAATTCACAGTAGCCTAATTCCAGAGGACCTTAAAAAGATAGGTGACTAAGTGACATCATACTACCAACAAACCAAACCGATAAACAGGCCTACAGAAAATCATTATCCTCAACATAAGATTAAATCGAAATCACATCAGAAACACATGCAACATGTATTTAACTTTCACTTTTTAAATCTATCACTGACACAGGCGTCGTCTGGAGGGGCGGGATAAGTGACTGTCAATCATGATCAAGCAATATTCTTATTGGGTGGGGGAAAGCTCTGCGTATCTCACGCGACGTCATCACGCACTTTTCCAACCTGCCCTTGAAGCCACAACACAGGCAAGATGGTTGCATACTGGAGACAGGCAGGCCTAAGGTAAAAAAATCTATATAAATGTATGTCTGCAGAGTTAGTTTTGTGGTCACCGCGTTCTGTTAATACGGATTTGTTATTATAACTGAATACTTTAACTAAAACCTTGTTATTCTGTCTATATTAAGTCAGATTGCTAACGTTAACGTTACATAGCTAACGTTACCATAACGTTTCTGTAGTTAGTTTATCAATAGCTTTTCCACTCACACGCTAAAAGGCGCTAATGTTAATTAATAACCGTTCAAGATGTGAATCTTTCTGTTATGCGTCGGATACATCATTTGTTCTTAAAGAAGCAGTTATATTTTTTTCTTCCAGATTGATCACTGTCAGTATTGCTTGCCCTTTAGCATGCGGCTAACAAGTGTGTCCTTTCCGCAGCTACATCCGCTTCTCCGCTATCTGCGCTAACGCGGTGCGGGCTGCTTTGAAGCCGCAGTTCAAAGTCGAGGCAATAAAGGCCGCAGAATCCAGTGTGAAAGTCCTCAAACCCAAAACAGCATGTAAGCTCATCGAATATTATAATTTACCAGCACCATAGGAAAACTGCATAACGTTACATATCTGCAGCTCTATCATGGCCCCTGACAGTCTTTGTATTTCAAGGAGGCAGTCGTGACATTGAGTGGTGTCAGTGTGCAGACTATTGTGGAAGAAGTAATTTTAGAAGATATAAATGCTTGTGTGTTGAAATGTTTCATTTAAAAAAAAAAAGGCTACAGTACACATTAACAATGAACAAAAGCCAGATGTTATATTGGATTATTGTTGCTTATTCATGAACATTTAAGCATTATTGTAATGTTGTACCTAATCAAGGTGGTGTAAAAGTAGACTAACCCTAAACCTGCACCCACTGATATGAATGATTTATAGTCTTTTTGGGCTTTTTAATAATTTTCACCATGATATTTTCAGTAATGTTTCTGTCCTTCTGCTGTTTTCCCTTCAGGATATGAGACCATGATGTAGATATGTTTTTCCTTGAGTTGTGAGGTCCTGTCCTGCAATCTGTGGAGAATAAAGGGGGGGAAAAAATGGATGGACATCAAGATGACCTGTTTAGAGACTGGGGACCTGAGTGAAATTGCTGTTTCCCCCCACCCCTCTTCATTTGTAATTAAAATTGTATTAAAGATGAATATCTGAAATACATTTTGTTTCCTTGTATTCTTGGCTTGTTGGTGAACGTAGTAGTAGAAGTACAGCGCTGCAGAACGCGATACTGAAACATTTTTGTCCAACAGTTTTTATTTTGGTATAAATAAATCAGTGCAGTAGTCTACATATCGCACATATACAGAAACATGGTATTTACAGAGATTTGAGAGTTTGTGTTTATCCAGAAGTATATCAATGGTTTGTTGAAATTCATTGTTCCTGCAAGAATCTAAGACAGGGAATAAGATTGCATGTTTTCTGTACATCAGTAAAAACCTTAATCCAAAATTATTAGAAATGCATGCATTGCCCAGAGAGCTGAAAATCCAACTAAGCAAATAACAACTGACAGGCACTTTAATCGTTCAACTGAAGATCAGAGTAATTGGTGTTTACTTATTCAAAATTATTGTAACGTGTTAATGTTTATAATCTGTATGATTTTCCTGTACTTTGAACATATAACCTGTATTCAAACCAGGAAAAGTGTTTTTGTCAGTGTTAATTCTTTTAATGGTATGAAAACAGTTCGAACCATTTTTATGAGCCCTGATCTGCTCAAAAAAATATTTGCGTGCCTTTTCCATGAAGGTCAGAGGTCAAGATTAGTAGCAGGGTCAGAAAGGGACTTGATCTTTCTCAGGGGCACTTCAACAGGGTTCTTAATTACAACAGGTTCATCAATCACAAGTTCCCCCACAAATTCAATTTTAATTGCACTTATCAGAATAAAAATGAAAATACTACTGCACCAAATTGTATTTGCTCAGAAACATCTATTTTGAGTGATGGGAGTTCAGTATGGACACATCCAGAGATGGATCAGAGATTCACCCATGATGTCCTGTACTAACAGAGGTTATGCCACCAAACCCTAGCTGTCTTTCTTCTCTCTGGTCATTTTGATCATGGTCTCTGGCGATCGGTAAAGGAAGATGAGTTTCTCGAACAGCGTCTCCTCCAGCTCCATCTCTCCTGTCTCCCGGACCACGAAAATGTCTGTGCAGAGCTTTAGCACCCGGTCCACACACGGTAGCTCCTCAAACATGATGGATCTGGAGATCCCGTTGAAGAACTCCCTGACGAACTTTCCGATGACCAGTACAACTGACATGTACAGACCTACGATGCTGCAGTTAAGAGAAGTGGAGCAATGGGGAAAAAAGCCTATAGTCATGTTGTCAGTTAGAAAAAAGACCATATTTCTTAAATTTCAAGTTATATCGACCTGGAAATGTGTAAGATTTAAGAAACCATTTGCCCAAAATCTCACTTTTCTTTGTTTTACCAAAGTATAACTGCAAACCTTGTGTCATCATGTTAAAGGAATACTCTGGTATATACAAGGAAGAAACGAGGCACATGGGTTATCACCATCAGCTGTATATTATATTGGGAAAGAGATTTTGCTGTTGACTGTTTTAAATCTAATGTTTAGTCCACAAACTATTGGGGTGAGCTACAGCAGGTACATTATCTTCAAACGTAGCAAAACATAGACTGACTTTAAAATTTAAGAAGAAACAAGGGCTGGGTTTGAAGAAATGTAGCAGAGATTTACTCAATTGCTCAATTATAAGAAGAAAGATTTCCTGACAAAATGCAGGTGAGGTGTCTTTGTTACCTACCCGTGTCCAGCCAGAAAGCCCAGACTGGAGGGGCTGACTTTGTCATTGAATACCACTATCTCTATACTGTGACAATTCTGGTCGGAGGAGGCAAGAACTGGGGAGCATTCCTGCACCACCCACCACTGGTCTGGCTCTTTCTCTGATGCAACATTGACCTGCTGAAGTTTGATTGACATGGGCCTGAAGAAAGCCAGCGCCTGGAGGTCTGGGCGGTCCGAGTGCTCTGAGGAAAGACATGCCAGGGTTAAATTAAACTGCATAATTTAAATGAGAGATCAGTACAGGACGGATCACTCTGATCGTTATTACTGGATCGTTTTCCTTTCTTGAGCCCAGAAAGCTCACTGCTGCACATATACAGTATATGACCAGCACCTGTACAATGAGGCTAGATGATATGCACAGATAGACCAGTAAAAAAATCCTAAATAAAAAGAGAGGACAAGCAAATGAACTGCACAAAAATTACTTACAAATAAGAAACTACTGTGAAAAAAAGATACCACAGCCTAGATGGATTCCTTTGGATATTATAAGTACAATGCAATTACGATTTATAGACAAGAACTGTAACTAACCTACTTTCATCCTGGTTGCCATTTTGGACTCTGGTCCCTTGGGACCCCTGATGAACTTTGGCAGCAGAGAATGAATGAGCCTACAGCACAGGATAACATAGTTTAACAGTTTTGAGTTCAAATCAGAAATCTTCACTTTTAATCAGTTTTAAAAGTAAAGACGAAACAGTGGATGACATATAGTGTTTCAACTTTCTGTATGAGTTAATCTTAATTATAGCCATTGCTAGCAGGTTTGTTTGATTTCACTAAGCTATTCTCTAGCATTAAAGGACAATTTCTGTGTTTTTAAACCTGGGCCCTATTTTTACATAAGTTGAAATGACTAGTAGGTACAAAGAGGTTTGTAATTCATACAGTAGAAGGCTTCAGCCAGCAGCTCCAAACTAGTTGCCGTGGCTGCAACACATTCCTTCAGGGCAATTGTGCTGTCAAAATTACATACCTAACAACATCATGAAAAGGATCCCGACGAGTGACTCCCAGTGACACCTTTTGTTTTTAACAAGAAACTGAAGTCTTGCTCAAGGACATTTCTCGCTCTGAAATCTTGTGAGAGGTGAGTTGTATGATGTTGTTAGACACTGGTAAAACAGTCTGAGTCCGTCAGTGGCAAAAAGAAGCACTTTTTGTGGGTGTAATGTTGACGGGCACAAATGCCCCAAAGAAATGCGTTGCAGCCACTGCAACCGGTTCGTGGATGCCGGCTGAAGCCATCTACTGCACAAATTCCAAAACCTTTTGTGAAAATAGGGCTCAGGTTTGAAAATACAGAGACTATCCTTTAACATCTCTAGTAAGTAAGGGCATTGCATTTCAACACCTGAAGACGACAAACAGTAAAAGTACAACTAAATAAAAACCAACTGGTTGTGTCTGCTGACTGCGACTCACACAGGTTTGCTGCTGTTGCCTTTGAGCATGTGGACTATCCCTTCCCTCAAGGCCTTGTCATCAAACTTCACAGTGTGTTCTCCCACCGTCTCAGCATTCATTGATATGGACGCATTCCTGAGAAGAGCAGGGGAGGAGCCTTCAGTTTGTTGTGCAAAATACAATTAATGAACAGTTTCATGAAGAGGTCCGCATAAAGAATTGAACAAAGTAAAAAGAAACAATACATTTCAGTGGCATTGTCTCTAAAATTAAACTTGACTCAAAATGCACCATGTTTCATCTCATGAAGTTCGACCAGAGTTGAATCACCCCAAAATAAATATGACATTATAAATATACTTTGTAAATGCCTATGCTTCTGTTCACATTCATTCAAATATTAATGAGTAACTAAGTGCTTTTCAGAAAATACGTTTTCCTTTCTTTGATATGTAAAACAACAAAGGGCCCAAAATACAAAGCAGAACAACAAGTGAAAAGTACAAACAGACACACACACACTGACCTGAGCAGCGTCCAGCGTAAGGTCATGTATATATGAGAGGAGTTGCTGAGCTCCTGTATCATGGCCTCTCGACTGGCCGGGCTGATGCTCCACATCAGACTGGCATCACTCTTGATCTTAGCAACAACAATATCTTCTGCCACATAGTTCATTATGAACTGCATAGCAGACTAAAAAGGGGGAGTCCACATTAAAATACTGAATACTAATATTGAAAAATAAAAGGAACAAGAGATACTTGAGCTTCACAGTGTCCCAACACAGTCAATATAATGTTAGGCAACGCTAAAATTTGTTTGTTCAAACAAATACAAACATTATCATAAAAAATTTGAACAAACATATGAAGGCAAAACATGCCCGCACGAGTACAGTATACATCTACATGCACATACATCTGCACACATAGAGAATAAGAGGTGCTCCTCCTCATGGCTGTCGACAGTTGTTCTAATTATGATTAAGACAGTTATTGCATATACACATACATGAACAGCAGATACAATATATAGTTATATTAATTTCTGGTGGTGGATGGTTTTGTATTTGGTCTCAGTTTGGTGTTTGCAGTAAAATGAAGTGTGTCTTACTGGATGGGTTGCATAGACTTTGGTAAGTTGGTTGAATCCAGCTTCTGTATATGGAACCAAGTTCTGCTCCTGGGCGCTCATGGTGAACAGAGGCTGTGGAAGCACAATCAGACACATTCAAGAGAAAAACATACACGCTCACTAGATATGAAAAATGACTGAATGTCTGAACTGCACAGTTAGAGGGCAAGTAAAAATGTAATCTTGTAAACAATGATGGTACTGCAGGGAAGTGGTTGTTAAGCTAGCAGCAATGCTCTAAGCATGGCAATGTTGGTCTGTCTGTCCGTTGGTGTGCTGTTTCAGACCGTTGTATGTTTTCGATAATGCCCTAGGCATAGCAATGTTGTACAGACATTTATTGTCCCCAGAGGATGAATCCCCCTAACTTTGGAGATCCTCCGACTTCCTCTAGTGTTCTGACAAAAGCAAAATACCTGCAAAACTACATTCACATCAGCCTTTGCTGATGCAGCCGGGACCGTGACTGTAGGCTCTTAGGCTTCTTCAGAGAGAAGAAGGAGGGCAAAAGAAAAAGTGGTTGTTGTGTTTAATGAGATGTTTAATACTTGTGACTTTCACAATCTTCATTTTCTACTGTAGAAATTAGTTTGCTGTTTCATCTTGTACAAGAAACAATATTTCTATGAATATTATAAGCCAGCTAGC